TCTAATTTTTCTTAAGCCTAATATCTAATTTAATGTATTTCAGTCATCACAAATGTATTATGGGATTCTCATGAGGAATCTCTCCATATTTACTATTATTAAAGAACAAACAAAGCCACCTATTACTCATTTTATTAGGTGAGCTCTTTGATTTTACAAATGAGTTGAGCAGGTCCCTGACTTGAGTGTCTAAGATTGCACCAAACTTTCCTTGGATTTCTTTAAGTTTTTTTTGTAAAACAGGCTCTATGCAGGCTATTGGTTAAATTACTTTTTTTTTTTTTCAGTGACACTATTCCTTGCTTTAATATTTGTTGTCTTTTTCTGCTTCTGAAGTAAGGGATTGCAAAATACCAAACTACACTCAAATGAGGGTGAAGGAAAAGCCAGGTGTTGGCACAGCATGGAGAAGCCCACAAGTAAGGACAGACAGTAGCAAGTGGCAGGAGGTGGGAAGCGACTGAAGCAGTTCACAGGAAGCTAAAACTCTCCAACAGGTTGTCTCTACAGTTAGCACAGGTTAGACTAGTCACTATGTGCTAGGTGGCCTCAGTGTGTTTGGGTTCGGATTCTACACAGCAGTACAATTTCTTCCAGCTAAGCGTTCTTGGCTTGCACCAATCACAGGGTGGCTGGAGGACACTGGACCAGTTTATTAGTTTTTTAAAATGCTGTCGTAGACCTGATAAATGTATTGAGAGGCTTCAGGAGCTCTACATTTCAGCGACAATGTATAATTTGGGTTTCCTGGCTGGATGCGTAGCTCGGCGAAAATCCAAATGCCATTAGTGAGTTTCAGGGATTGGTACAGCATGTCCGGCCCTTCCACATTCCTCTTGGCAATAGTATAAACATTGTTGTTTTGCATCTTGCTGGAAATAGTGTCAGCATTTAAATGGCATTCCTTAATCTGAAACTGGAGCTCATTTTCATTGGGAATATCCTTCCATGCTGCCAGGAAGACCTTGTGCTCCATTTTGCCATCTTCTACAAAAAGCACATTGAGTGGGATGAGGCAGCTAAAGTAGAAGACATCAATATTGTTTTAACAGCCCCCTGCAAGTTATTCAGAGGTTCCATCTTCATGACTGGGCCTAAGGTGTTGAGAGGCAAGGAGACATCAATGCTTTGGTTTGGCATCAGTGGTGTATGGATGGCCAGAGGAGTGCTTGGGATGACGCAAAAACTATTCTTGTTAAACTGGATTACAAAGTCTGTCATATGTTGCAGAGCTTTGTGGGTGAAGTTCATTTCCATATAGATGTGCCCTTGGCGGTGAATCTCCAAGCCTTTAGCCTTTACTGCAGGTAGCCAGACAGCTTTAGGAGCCACATATCTACCAGGTGCCATGCCTATCCCTGTGGAGAGCTCAAACAAGTCATTCAGACCACTGCTGACTATGGCAGGAGTTGGTGAGGGAGCAAAAGTTGCAGGCACTAATGATGGGATGAAGGACTGTCCAACCAGACTATCTAATCCTCCTCCCAAGAGATCCACAGCTCCCATCTGCATGGAGGACACCTGTGGCACGTTGACTGGGGGACCAAGGTCAAGATTTAAAAGATCCCCAAGAAGGTCACCTTGAGAGGGGATAAGCTGAGGCTGTTCCAGGTTGGTTGCTGTGGTGCTACCAACAGGACTGTCACCCGCATCAGTGCTCCCATGATGAATTGGCAAATGTTTGCGAGGGATCCCATGACTCCCTTCCACAAAAGCAGTGGGAGGCTTATGATATACAGAGGCCAAAGAACCAATGTGGCAGATCAGCTCATCCAGCAGAGTTGGCTCGATAAGGTCTGTCTCCTCAGAGATTAGTGGCTTCTCAGATAAGACTACTTCTTTGGCTGTCACTGGGTCAGTTGAGAGAAGGCGCCAATAAGTATAACCTCGGTCTCGAAGGTCAGGATTGTCAGAATCCTGTGTTGCCAAACTCAAGACCTGTTGGACCAACTGTGTTTCTGATGGTTTCTTGAGAAACAGCTTCACTATGGCAGTAAGCAGAGTGAGCTGAACTTGGGTACTTTCATCATGAAAGCCCTCCAAGAAGCTCTCTAGTAACTCATCTGCATTGTCGATTCTTTCAGCATATTCTCCCACGATCCAAATCATGGCTCATCCAGTGAATCTAAATTCTCACAGAGAGTGGCAATAATGCTTTCATACTTGTTGGGGTACTTGCGGAAGATATCCCTGATGACAACAGTTGCCTCTTGGACCACATAATTTACTTTGGTCTGGATTAGGTCAAGCAATGTGCTTACACAGCGCTCTGCAGATTGCTCCACCTTGATGGCACATTGTCCAAGGGCCCTCACAGCTTTGCAAACAAAGTCAGCATCCACCTCAGTAGCATATTCCTTTAGTTCTGCCAGAACCTGAGCAATGTTGGCTTGGGATGCCAGGTGAATCATGATGTCCAACTTCTCCAGTTTAACACAGATGGGATCATTGTACTTCACAAAGAAGACTTTGATTTCCTGCTTTAAGATTTCAGGCCTTTTCTGGACAATTAAGTTGATGTTCCTCAGGGCAACATATTGTACTTCTGGTTCCCCAGACAGCAAAGTAACAAGTGGAGGAGCTAACTTCTTCAGCAGCATATTATAGTAGTCAGAATCCTTGGGTAACAATTCCAGAAATTTCATTAGGACTTTTACTGCTGAAAGCACCACTGCTGAGTTGGCAAGGGATAACCAGGGAGTTACCCGCTCACAGATGCTCTGAGCTTCCTGGTCATCTTTAGGGTTATAATTAGACAGGCAGTCCAGGATGAAAATCTGGCCCCATTCGGTGCACTCATTCAGAGCTGTCAGCAGCTTATTAATGTTCTGTGGGTTCAAATCGAGTAAGATGCTGTTTGGGTGAGACTCACTAATTTCAGACAATGCTGCTACAGCATTAGCCACCACCATTGGATTTGAATCTGCTATGAGATCCCGTAGAGAATCGAGAAATCCTTGATCTTCCACCATTTGGACATTGATATCATGGAGTTTTGCCGCGCATACGGCTGCTGTTTTCCGAACATAGGGGTCTTCATCTTTCAAGCACTTGCGAAGGGGCTCACAGAGATATTCTGTAATCTTGTCCACTCAGATACACCCCATGGTTCTGACTGCCAAGGCCCGAATCAAGGGATTGGGATCTTCACAGTCCTTCACAAAGCTGTTGACAGCCATGACGGCCATGTCTGGCTGATTCTTGGCGTAGTTCATCAAGTACAGATATACAAGCTTCTTTAGTTCCAGGTTATCAGTCTGCATACAGATGACTACATCTGGAAAGAGAGAGCTAACGTCTTTCCCTACAGTCATAGCAGCAATCACTTTCTTCACAGCCTCCTTTCTCTTTTCTTTCTTTTCATTGTTGAGTTCAGCTTTTAATTCAAAGATTTCTCCCTTTTTATTGGTTGTGAAGTACTTGGAATCAGTCATGATTCAGGATCTTTAATGTACCCCAGAGGTAAGGGCTGGGAGTGGCAGTGGCTGCCAGAGAGCACAGCCCGGGTGGTGTTGTAATGGTTTCCTGCCCGTCACAATTCTGTTAAATTACTTTTCATTTTTCCTTTATATCCCAATTTATAAAAAATTCTCTTGAAAATAAAAAGCCATCAAATAAATCTAGCTCCCTAAATTAATCAAATAATTTAGCACACTTGTTTTTAATGATGCTCTATGTTCTATCTATATTTGCAATATGTCCCAAATTATTAAATGTTATTGCCTCTTTTATGTTGTCTTGAAAAACACATTAATTCTCCCTAAAGTTATTACATTCAGATATATGTAATTCAATGCCTATAGACACTGACTGTTGACATTTTCAACACCAGATATAATTAGTACCCTAGAATTTTCTTGAAAACTACTTATGACACATGCCAAGATTTAAAATAACAATTCAAGATTAAAGTCTTACTAATCTTAGCTATAGAATATTAAAACTGTCTAATCTCATACCTTTACAAATGTAATAAAGGTAATGAAGGGAACTGAAAATGCCAACAGCAATGGCAAGTCATGACCAATTCAAACTAATACCAAAAATTACTCAGACAAGACAATGATGTTTTTCCAGGAAAAAGGGAACATTCCTTAAAACTTCTATTTTGATCATGTCATTATCATGTTCAAAATCTTCAACAGCTTGTGTCTTCCCTTTCTAGTTTTATTTCTCCCACCCCCCCGCTCTTATCAAAATTACTGCTTATCCTATTTGACAGTCACATTAATTACTATAAAGATGAATTGAAATCAATTTAAAAGTCAAAGGGAAACTCATAAAAATACTTCATAATTGCTCATTAAAGATCTGGCAGTATTTTGACGATTGCTGTGAAATAATAACATATTCATACTAAAAAAAATGTTTATTGTTTAACAGAAATTCAAATTTAACTGAATGTCTTGTATTACTAGCCTTCCCTGTTACCAGTAGATCTAAATAGCCTACTTTGTCATGATCCTATTTTCTTCATCTTTGTCAATCCCGGAAATATTCTTGCTCACTTTTTTTGTTTAATAGTTTATTGCTACATTCTCTGTATCCTATAAAGTGTAGTGCACTTGCCTTCTACCTAACCCACACACATCTTTCTCATGTTAGTGCTGTGGAATACGGTCTCTTCTTGTCTTGAACTATTTCCCCAGCATCTAAAACTCTGCCCACCACAAAATAAATGTTCATAAAATATCTGTTGAATAAATGAATGCTCTGGATTTACCAGCCTTTTAAGGTGTTTAGTAAAAATCATTTCCTTCTAAACCCATAACTGAAACACATTTAAAGTTCTGTAAGGAAAACTTGCCAGATTTTGTTTCTTATGTAGACATTCTCAAGATTAATTAGTTACATGTAATTTATTTTACTATCAATGTTGTACTGTCCACTAGACCAATAAATAAAATCTGTTTATACCTCATAACTAAAAATAACTCTAGGACTATAGAAATATTAATAAAAACATGCTTACAGAATAAAACTATGCAAATCTGTCTTACCGTCTTAATAGAACTCCTTTGTTTTTCTTCCCAAACACTACTGCTCAACTCAAGTGTACAATGAATATTTGCCTCTCTGTCATAGGATCCAAAAATGAGTAACCTGTAGTATAAAAATAAAACAGAGAGAATTATACTATTTATAGACATCAAATTTTTCCTTTCAACATTAGTATAAGTAATACATTATTCCATTATGATTATTTTAGGAACAGAAAATATTAAATAAAACATTTGGTACACCCTCTAGTGGAAAAGTGAAGTAAAGACAAAATTAGTGGAGATTATAGGACATGGAGTTTTCAACAGCTAAGTCAAACAAATTAAAAGCATTATACATTTATAACAAAAAGAAATAGACCAAATCCTGAGAAAATTGTGTCCTAAGTTTGGAGATATCAGTATGTCATGTCCACACATCACAAATTAGCATTATCCACTGAGAAGCCTGAATAAACTTATTAAGGGGGAAAAATTCCTAAATTTAAATAATTGTTAAGGAATCTCAAAATGAATTTTATTCTATTTTATTTTATTTTTGGTACCAGGGATCGAACTCAGGTCTTTGCGCTTGCAAGGCAGGCGGTGGAACCAATAAGCTAAATCCCTGGTCCTCAAAATTCATTTTAAATTTAGTGCTTAACAACTTATTACCAAAAAGAAGGAAGGCCAAATAATTAAGAATATTTGTAATTTTAAAATAACAAGTTAAGAATAACTAGAATTTTCATTAACAAAGCTCTGCTGCCACCATCTGTTCAGAGACCAAACTACCTGAGGACCTTTGCCAACATGCAGAAAAAGCTGTGTAGCAGCAGTAAGGGCTCCAATTCCTGACAAGGATTAGTGCTCCGGAGTTAGGAATGAGAAAGCAGAACTCTCTCTAAAGTACAAGTTATTCTATATTTTTTATCCTGGTTTTTAAATGCTGTTCAGAAGAATAAAACAGAAGACAACAAAAATTAACTCAAAATGGCTACAGGCCTAAGAGCTATAGTTATGAAACTTTTACAAGAAACAAAATCCTACCTTTGTGCCTTTTTTTTTTAACTCGAACTAATCAATGGTTTGTTAGATAGGACACCAAAAGCACAAAAACCAAAAAGAAAAATAGACAAACTGGACTTCATCACAGTTAAAATTTTATGCATTTTCAAAGGGCATTACCATGTAAATGAAAAGACAATTTATAGAATGGGAGAAGTAGCTGCAAATTATATATCCGCAAAGGGCCTACTAGCCACAAAAAATGAAAGACTCTTACAACTTAATAACAAAAGTCAAATAAAACAATTTTATAAGAAGCAAAGGAAGGGATTTCTTATGTTAAATGATCAATAAGCACATGAAAAGACACTACCTCAAACCCACCAAAATGGCTATAATAAAAGTCAACAAGTACTGATGAGGATATGAAGAAACTGTAATCCCCACACATTGGTGGTGGGAATGTAAAGTGGTGCAGTGACTTTAGAAAATAATTTGGCAGTTGCTTAAAAAGTTACAGATTTAACATAACGAGTAACTCTACTCAGGTATAAACAAAAGAAATTAAAGGATATATTTATATAAAATTTGCACACAGAAACATTATTATGAAAAATGTTAACAACTCAAATGTCCTTCAAATGATAAACAGGTTAAACAAAATGTGGTTGTCACACAATAGCGTATTTGGCAATGAAATGAAATAAAGTACTAGAACATACTTGTAATACGCATGAACCTTAAAGAAACTAAGTAAAAGAAGCTCAAAAAAGAATACACGACTCCATGTATATGAACTGCTTGGTATAGGCAAATTTTTATAGTGTGTAAAATAAAAATTGTAGAAGGCCACTGTTTTGCACTGAGCACCTGCACTAGGCACCAACAGAACAGAAAAATGGAGTCATTTCTGTTCAACAGAACATAACCAAATAAACCACTGAAATGTGAAGGAAGAAGACAGATCCTGAAACAGACCAGTTAAAAAGAAAAAAAAAGATTCTGGTCTACCTGAGTAGTAATAAGAAGTCCCCTTTGCTTTAACCTTTACAAATAAGCAACCTAAAAATAATCAATCAGATTTCCCCAGCTACTTCCCCGATTCTTTGTATTTGGCTTACAAAACTCATGTTCTGCTACTGCCCAGTGGAAGCAATCATGATATTGTTTAGAATAGATGCTATACGGATTTATGAATTGAAAATAAATGTCAATCGGGGCCGGGGATTTAGCTCAGTGGTTTAGTGGCCTGTCTTGCAAGTGCAAAGACCTGAGTTCAATCCCTGGTACCAAAAAACAAAACAAAACAAAAAAAAAGTCAATCGGATCTATAAATTTGTCATAATTTTGTTTTCTCATAATTGGTTAGTTAAGGTTAAAGGAAAAACTACAGAATGATTTCTTTGAGAGAGATGAAATATTCTACAACTAGTTTGTGATGATGGTTGCTAACCCTGCAAATATGGTAATAAACATTGAGCTACACACTTTAATTGAGGAGTTGTATAAAACAAATATTAACAGTAACAAATATAGTCATACAACAGGTCATATCCTATCAATGATAATAAATTCCAAAGATATACTAAAAAGATGGTCACAAGTTTGGTTTATTATTACTATGAATACAATATTTGACAAGCTTATACATTTCAGTAAGATGTAAAAATGATCTTTACTTGACAACAAACATTTGAAGCCAAATAAACTTCAAATGAAAATCATTATAAATGTGAAAAGATAATATCACAAATATTTAGTATTTGTGATTCTTAAGAAATAATGAAAATTTAAAGTCCATAAAGCACTACCTGTCTTATCCGAAAGCCTTGATCTTTTTTTGTGGGGGAGGCAAATATCCCTTTAAACTGATTTTGTTTTTGCATTGATATTGAGAATAGCTAAGTATTTCTTAGCCAAAATGCTGGGGACCAGAAAAGTTTTAGATTGTTTTTCAGATTTGGAATATTTGCAAATAACTGGCTTTGACTGCTGAGGCTCAAGGTCTTCTGCTACAGCAACAGAAAACAGACTAACACAATTTTACAAAAGCATTTTTCAAAATTGCAAGGTCTAAACACAAATTTGGTTTTTAAAGCGTTTTGGATTTTCAGATTTGGGATGCTCAACCTGTGTCACCAAAAACATCTTCAGTTTGGGTAACAGGAAACACTCTCTTCAGATAAGTTTATTTTGTTTTTCAATGATGAAAATATTTTGTCTGGTTATTTAGAATTTGGTTTTGCCTTCTAATTTTACAGTTTTTACTAGTAGATATTAGATCAGTTTCTGATTCTCATCACAACACCACAAAAAATATTCACATATTTTCTTTGCAGTCCACTGCACTCTTTAGTGAATAATCAAATACTGAAAAACACGAGCAAACAGTATTAGCATCAAGAAAGTACTGGGCTGGGGATTTAGCCCAGTAGCACTGCACAAGTTCCTGAGTTTGATCCCTGGTACCAAAAAAAAAAAGGAAAGAAAAGAGGTAGTACTATCAGTTTGCCTAGAAAAATTAACTTCTCTAATTCTGTGTTCAATATGCCCATCAAAACTCATGCTGGAATTTAATATCCTTTGTAAAGTATTAAAATAGAAACTTAAAACAACTAAGGTATATGGAAGTGGGTCTTTTGGGAGGTATGTGAAGTTAATCGAGGCCAAAAGAGTAGGGATCTAATCCAATGGGTTTGTGACTTTGTTAAGAAGAAAGACCTGAGCTAGGATGGTCAATCCTTTTGCTGTGTGACCTCTCTTCAGCAAGCACAATGTTTTCTGTAATAACACCTTCACTAAAGGCCTAGTAGAAGCTGGCACCATATTCTTGGACTTCTAGAAATATGAGTTAAATAAACCTCTTTTCTTTATAAATCACCCAGCCTCTAGTATTCTGCAATAGTAAGAGAAAACAGACTATGATAATTTTACAGAAGCATTTGTTAAAATTGCCAATTTAACAATCCGTTTTATTCCAAAAACTTACTTCTAAGCAAAGGATAAATTTTCACTCTACTTATTTATGTTCTTACAATTCAATCTCAAGTAAACAAAGTCTCATTCAAATTATATAATCCCTAGAATCTAGTCAACCACTGGCCAATCCACATTTCGAGTAAAATAAACAATGAACATATACTGAATAAACAAGAAATAAGTATAAATAAACTTCTAGTACTACTTCTAAAAGCTAAGGAATCAGTACTACCAAACAACAAAAGGCAAAGAAAATTACATTTAGACCCCTTTGTTGAAAGAGCTATAAGCTCTATGAAAGTTCCTTATAGAGGTCAAAGTATTTTTTTTAAATGAAAAGCTACCAGGAAGACATGTTAAATATAAATACAAACAAGATCTATCATGAATCAAGGAAAAGGAACTTATCTGACTCAAGTCTAAAACACTGAGAAAAGTAAAGTAATTTGCAATGCTCTCCTACTTAAGAAAGTGTTTTATAATCATACATGGGAAATAAAAGGCAGGCAGGGTGGTGCATTCCTGTAATCTCAGCTTCCTAGGAGGCAGAGGAAGGAAGATCATAAGTTTGAGCTCAGCCTGGGCAACTAGGCAACTTAATTCCCCAGAACCATTAAAAGAGTGTGGGGACAAAAATCCTTTGTATGTTCTGGTGTTAAATTTAAATAAAAGGAAAGCCCTTCTCCTGAAGGGGGTCACATATAAACTCATCTCCTGTTAAAATAATCATGGTCGGCTGACCTATACATGGCCCCTTGAACAGTCCTCCCCTACTCAGAAACATCCTCATACAGGACTCAACTCTCCCATCTATGACAATGATTTCTAAAACAAATCTCCAGGCATTATCTTTCACAATCTCTAAATTGCCAGGAATCTGCAGAACACTTCTACGGGGAAATCTAACATGCCCTTCTACTCTTGATATATAAAACCAGATTCATTTGCCTCTGAAACAAGCCCCTCTATTTCCCAAACTAATCCTGAAAGGTAGAAGTTATGTTCTGCTCTATATAAATATACCTTCAAAATCTAGAAAATAATACTTGCAGGCTAAATCAGTGTCAACAGTACCATAATTCTATAATGACATCCTTAATATTCCTTGGCCTCCCTGCCTGTACCAATCCATAAAAC